TCAAACTTGTCGGTAAACGAGGCCTGAACACTTCCCTAGAGCGAAAAAGCTAGCTATCACATTGTTTAACCGTATTAACTTAAGAACAAATTGAGAACAATCTAGCCTCAGATTTTCGAAAAAATTAAGAACAGTCAGCCTAAATTTAAATTTACTGGTTCTTATAAAAAAAGAGTGTATGTACAGTGTCTTTCGTATTTACAAAGAGTAGGGGCACTAGTGTAAATTGTATCAAGAAAACTACAGTCCCATTCTTAGAAATTAACTCATGGTCCCAGATATTTACCAGTTTGTTTCCCTGGAAGCACAAGGACACCTGTTTTCTTTAGAATAATGGTCGTTAGCCGAAGAAAGATTAGCCTCTTTCTGGACCTTTGTCTTACGATAAACCTCAGTTTCACCTAGAAAATCAGGATAACCTTTTCAAGTTCACCTTGCTGGCCAAATCTCTTGAAAACAGACACTGATCGGCCTTTTTTGTCAACGAGACTCCTGGAAATGCAAGTGGTCATGCGTTTTATCGTCGGTACATCAAACACACGGGCCCGCTTAGAACTAGATGGAAAACACGGATTATTGTGTCCAGTTTTGCTTGAAATCGTTTAACGTGGTTATTTCCATGCTCACCAATTTGTCACACACTAATTTTATTGGTTAATACGGTTTCCAATTGTTGCGATATCTAAATAGCTTTTAATTGAATTTAAGGATAGCCAGAGTAATAGCGTAAGGGCTACGAATTTCTTTTGTGCTCGGCCCGAGTCGTCTTAACAGTAGCCTTGGCCTAATCCATCGTATTCACCAACTTAACAAAAGATCCCGGACATATTGCTCATAACCCAATCATCTGCAAATCTCATCCCTTTTGTTAACGAAACTTCACAGGATGAGACTTTGAATCTTGTTATTTCGTGTCAGTGACAATGAAAAAGATTTGAACTTAAAATTTATTTTATTTGATCAATGGCACCATATCGAACGCCCTTTACTGTTATCATTTATGAAAGTATCAAACAGCCCGCCGATCAGACTTGAGGGTAGGAAAGAATGCCTTTCCAACCAGATTGTAGACATGAAATATTTTTGTACATTTAGCCACAGTTTCAGGAGCCCTCAATTTGCAACAGAATGAATTTTATTGGTCTGGTCAGGAGCTGGGCAATGATGGATCGTTTGTTGAGCTAGAACGTTTCTGAAGCTCGCTAGATTTATCCAAAATTTTATCATTATTATAATAAACAAGTGATACAGTGGAATCCTGCTACCACTGACTTCTCGCTATTACGAATCAAATATAACTCCTTGGAATACTTCCTGCATAACAAAATACGGTATAACGAACCGTCGCTATTGCAAACCTCTCGCTATTACGAACTTAAGGTTTGGTCACTTGGAATACATTACTCCCAGTATAATGAATCCTCAGTATACCCAACTCCTGCGAAATCTTTGAGGGATGATCTTTCAGTAGCTTCCCATTCAGTACTTCATTAAGAAACAAAATGCTTATTGCTATTGTTTTTAGTTATTTTTTGCGAAAACCTTCCCCCTCCTCTCCAAAATCAATTTAATACCCCTACTTATATCCCCATAGTTGAAGACCACTTTGCATGGAAATTTGGTCGTTGACTTGTTTACTAACCTAACTTGGCGCAGTCACAAATGAACCGCTCCTTACTTTCAGCGTTGACCTCCAGATTACGCGGAACCGCTAATCAAAGCTTTACAAAATCTCATCAAATCGTAATTATATAAGCTGAACAAAATAGAACAAACGATGAAATATAGGCAGTACGGCCAGCTTTTGCAGCTGCTTTATTATTTATTCCATTTGAAGCTCAAGCGAAATTACAATTGTTTACCAGTTTCTCTTACAAACAGAGGCCGCCTAGGCGAAACTTTTTTCGAAGTTGTTTCCAGTGACCTTGATAAAATAGGATTCACAAAAAACTGTGGTTTATATTAGTGACACTGGAAACTTCAAGAAACTAAGACGACCAATGCGGCAGGGATGCTGCGTTGCCAGGGTTTTAAATCTTGTTCAATGAAAATTTATAAGCGATCAAGAAAATTGACATCCATGCAAAGAAGAATTGTGTTTGAACAAATTGATTGTTGGAAAAACCCTCCTGAATTCATCACAACATTATTTCAGCTGAGGAAGAACTAAGTTCCATGCTTCAGCATTAGTGGATGGTCAAGCGTATACGGGAAAAAGATTTTTAAGGGAGTGGTGAAGCTTCCAAATGTTTTTGTCATATTTGTGTTAGCCGCAAGGGTCATTCAAAAGGAGGATGGGGGCCATTTTCAGAGCCATAAAAGTGCATTATAGGCAATTGATTAGGAAACGTTTTTGCCAAGCTCTTTCGTTGTTTAGCAATCGCCTAGGCGAACCGCTCTTGATTCCGTCCAAAGAATAATTGCAACCGTTGGCGAGGAACGTGCCAAAGTTCCAGGGAATTATTATTCGTTCCTGAAAGAGGTCAACGCTAAGAGACAGCGCACGATATAAGTATTAGAGATGACCCAGTCTTTGAGAACAATCCTTTTTGCGCTCTTAATCGACTGTCTTGAGGGCCAAGGTAACTACCAATCTTGTTGCGGGAACCGCAGACCCGACATATCTTCAGACAGCAATTCTGACCCTTGTAAAAGAACAGATAGGTCGTGTAGATTTTCTTTCGTGTACATTATGATTATGTGTGCCAGCCAAAGGGTGACTAGTTAAGGGTTAATTTTCCGTTTGTATCACTTTTCCTTGAATGAGGAGATACTTTCCTGTCAACCGTCTCAGAAAAGCATGATACCGTAAATCCTTGAAAAAGCCCCCACGCTCGAATAAGCCCCCACCTCAAAAATCATTTTTGCAAATAAGCCCCCTCCTGGGGCTTATTCGAGGGAAGCATAATTGCAGAATAATATCTTATTTCAAGTAAGCCCTCACAGGACAATAGCTATACAGTAATACTTCCTTTGACTGGAGACCAAAAAGCAAAAAAGCGACTTTTGTGATAATAAAAGATTATAATATTTGTTAGTTCTTTGTTAGATTTGTTAGAAAAATTATGTCGTTTTAATGTCGACCTTTGACGAAAATTCTAAACCTTGAAATAAGCCTCCGGGGGCTTATTCGAGAATTTACGGTATGAGACTTCTTGGATTTATATTGGTTGAAAGAAATACCTCTTTTCGAGAATTCCCAGAAGTTACCAGAACAAAATAATAATGAAAATTGTCCTTTCAATTGACCTTTGTCTAGTGAGAGCATTGGAAGCTCTCACTCCGTTTCGCCAACTAATTTACATCCAAATACATCGCATTACTTGAAGCGTGTCCCATCCCCTGCAAGCTTCAACCTTGCTCCCTTGCCAGCTTAGCCTTTGGTTTTACGAATGCTAAAACTTGAAGAAATTTAAAACTTAAAGCATCACCGCAGTAGCTGCATCAACAGACACATTGCAATTGCATTTTGTGCAGAAAAAGGCAAACGGTTAGATGCATGACAAATTGTTTGATATGATACAGCTTAAAAGATAGCTTCAACGTTGCAATTGGATTTGTCTGTCAAAATTTATTCAATGACAACTCTTTTTGACGCACTGATGGAAATGACAGGCATTTGCAAAGGTGTCTTTGGTAGTCTGACAGTGCTGTTCACTTATCTCCATCCTTATCGCACTTCCCGTGTTTTTCAATTGTTGTTTAATTCTCGTGCAGGAATTAGTTATCGCGCGCAAATAAAGCCAATACAAGATTAATGGGCAGGAGTCAGTTATAACGAGCGACGCCCCGCCGTATGTGCTTATCCCCTACAGGTTTCCCGACGAATCCGCTCGCGGGATTATCTAGGATCACTAGAGCTCTTACTGTGTTAAAAGCCTCGAATCAAAGGGGAAAGAAATTGTGGATTAAAATCACTTAAAATTCCACTAATACTCCTTGAAAGCTAGAAACCCCATCCCTTTGCACAGATGCGAGAATCCTTGTTGTCTAAGAAGGATTGTTTCACTTGGGTCATTCTACTCGTTTATCTTCTTATTTTCAAAGTTAAATGTACCTTTCTGTGTATGACACAGGAATTATAACCCTATTGTCTGTCTAACAGTTTTAATCACAGCACAGAGATCGAAAATATACGCGCGCAAAGATCTTGATCTTGTACGTTGAGTTCAGAGGCAGCAATTCTGACAATGATATCCAGGAACGAAATATTGTTGGCCGTTTTATCCTTACATTTTCCAAAAACAGTGCTTCTGAAGCTATCTGCAGATTCCCATTCATTTTTGGCAGTTCACACCATCTCTATGGCTCACACTTGCTTTTAATTTTAAAACAACCCGTCAAAAAGCTCTCACGTCTGCACAACCAGTGGCGGGTTTAAGGGGAGGGGGGCAACTAGGGGCAGTTGTCCCTCCCTAAACGAGTTGAAGGAAGTCTGGCGCCCCTTTTTTGGAACTTGTGCGCCCCTTTTGAAGAATGAAAATCAGATGAAAAAGGTTCTTGGACCGATAGGTTAATTTGCTTCAAGGATTACCTCAAAGTTATGTTGTTTATTCGAAAAGGTATCTGAAATTGTTGTATACAGCGTACTCTCGTAACCAATTTTTGAAAATTTTTCAGCACCCCCACTACCCGCTGCCTCTCCTTCAAATTTGCTCTGGATCCGCCCCTGTGTACAACACTTTTATTCTTTAAAAGAGAATCTTACTTGGTATCATTCTGCTAGAATCGTTGAGATTTCTTGCTTTTGAAATTATAGAAATGAAAAATTTTTCCTTTTACCACACAATACCTTATATAACTTACATTTGTCTTCGCACTTGAAATAAAATATATAAACCTTTAATATTACGGTTGTTTATCGTTGTTGTTATCCACTGCATTGGTATTCATCCCTTAATTTTTCAACTATGAAGCATTTTGAAAGGACATTAAAAGATTTAATTTTTTTCATGCTACCGTATCGATTTTTATTGACATTATCTAATTTTGTTTTGCAGCTCCATGGTTTGAATCTGTGTTCTTCTGACATTGACCGGAAGCCAAGTCACGAATATGGATGGGTTGGTGTGATGAAAATCCCGCCGGTCGGTCAAAAACTCAACCCCTGCGTGTCGGTCGTTAAGAAAGTAAGTTAACAATTTTTTAATTGCTTGGAGACGACAAGGAAACAAAAATATTTTCTGTGACCTTCAAAATATTTCGTTTCCTATAACATACCTAGAAATAGAAACTAGGCATTGAATGTTAATTGTTAAAATAAACCTTGCATTGAATCTAATTGGTCAAAATAAGCCTGGTGGTAAATTTCATTGGTCAAATTGAGCCTGTCAGTCAAGCGGGTGACCATTGCAATTGAGTAACAAGTTGTGGTGTGCACGAATCATTTCATCGTTGCGGGTAGCTGATAGTTCTACAAATCAAATGGCTGCGAATGGTTATTTTCCTAACTTCTCTCAGGGGTGCAAATATTGGCTATGCAGGGTGCATCACCAAAATTCTTTGATTTAGGAATGTTTTGATTGAAACCGAGATGATGGGCCTAGATTCTTTGTCATGAATGCTAGCTTCATCGATTGCAAAGATTATTTGTGACAACAATGCATTTGCGAATATATATGTTCAAATAATATTTACGCTTCTTAAAAGTATACCTGTCATGTACACAAGTGATTATTGTATGCAATATGTTGAATGGCATACACTTTCCTTGAATGATATTTTGTCAATTGGGGTAGTAAAATTATTTTATTCTGCTGTCTTCGCAGGCCGAAGTCGCTGTTCAACGAGGTGCAACTGCTGTCATTTTTGACGTCACGGACAACCCAGGGGCACGAAAAGAGGTTTGTATTATGTTTAAAGGTAGCTGAATTGACTTCTACTTGGTTAGCCAACACAAACCACGTCAATATTTGTTGCTCATTACTAAGGTTTAAGTTGGGAAGGCATTGGATATCTATCAATGTAATTACTCTAATAGCACCTGTACGACGTCACATTTTGCAGTAAACCTTGTGACGCTAAACCGACCAGGCATAATTAAGCGCGATGAATAGCATTTAACCAGGGTGATATTCAGATATAGTTATCGTGTATTAACACCATCTAATTCGAGCACGCAACTATGGGTAGGCATGTTTTGTGAAATCAAGAAATTCATTTTAGGTCCTATATTTGACGCATTGCACCCTTTGACACTCAACGCATGGCACCCTTTGACCAATATGACTGCGTAATTGCCGTTTGCTTTGTGGCTTGCCACGACCAGCAGTAAATTTGAATCTTATCACCGAACCCTGGCCGTCACGCAGGGGTATATGCATCGAAAAATGTTTTCGATTTCTTTTCAAGTACTGAAAACAACACACAGTTTATTTAGGTTAATGTCTAAAATATTTAGTTGCTTTTTTAGATCTACGTCTAATCAATCATCAAATGAAGGCCATTTTGGCCTATTCTGAAAGCTAACTTGTCGTCAGAATAGTTTTTTTCTATTCATTAATTCCAGCCATCTTCCTTCAATTGCCCCTCTTCTCCCTGTGTTTTATCTTCAATAATGTTATGCACTTCAGTTTTTCTAAAAAGCTCCTCTTGATCTTTATTTGGAAATTTTTTGTTTAATATGTCCCAAAGTAGGTTTTCGCTCTTTATAAGAGCTCAAACTGTAGTCCTAAAATTTGGAAATGTACTGGAAGACATACATATTCAATATGTAAAAAGTTATGGAACCAGCTTTTACTAATCTATTTTCTCAAAACATAACATGATATTGTGTGACGACATTAACATAACTATTTTGCTTTTACTATGTTTGTCGTGAAGTAATGACATAAAAAGGTAATTTGAGTAAAACTTCAATATGATTTTATTGAATTATTCCCAATCAAGTTCCAAAATTCCAAAGCAAAGCTTCCAAGAACGATTATGCACTTCCATTGCTACAAATAAAGTGAAAGAATGCAAGTTGTAGGCGCATTATATTATCCCTCCTTTTTAGCTAAGAATGTGTTTGCTAAAAAGTTATACACAATCTCGTTTGCCCATTTGTGTTGAAATCAATTTAGTAGTTTTGAATTTGTTCGACGACCTTTTCTTGTTATTGAAATCACTTGGAGTTTACAAGATTCATCAAAATCTGAATTGTGAACCGCGACTTAGTATCGCCTGGTTGCAGGAATGTTCTATAACTAGAGTTCTGTATTGTGCTTCTCCTATTTCGAGCAAAACAATTTATTTTTCATTGTATTTTCGTGGCTTCAGCGGCGCTCTCTGTTCGCAATATAATTTGACTAGAGATTCTCTCATCAATGGCCCGCAAAATTTCAATATTATTTGGGCAAGACTTAGTAGGAGGTAGCTAGTTCATCCTCACAAAAGACAGATCTATGAAGGAAATCATGAATTCGTAGCTTATAATCGCTAAAGAAAATGCTACCGGGAGGGTCAACCTTTTCCAAATGCAGTTATGCTAAATTCTCTTATGTGCTTACGTTTAGAAGTTTTATTCTTTATCATCTTCAGAGTAGATTAGTCCCGGTGTGTCCAGTCTTACTTAGAGGTGTACCCAAGCTCATCCGAAAAATCTACGAGGAAGGGGTGGTTTTTTCCTCAAACCTAGGACAGTGAACTTAGAAAGAGAGGTCTGTTTGGTTTTATTTGAAACTACCATGGATAGGTAACACTTCCTTGCGATTCGAGAGTCAGATTAGGCAAGCCATCACAAGATGTTTCTTTGCTGTCAATCCTCGTATTGCTTACAGCACTAAGAGAGCCCTTCCATCCATTCAAAAGGGTTCCGCTCCTACCAACCCAAAAAAGTTCCGTTATTTATGAATTTACGTGCCAGTGTGATTCTGGCTACGTAGGACGCACAACCCAAAGATTGGGGATGGGATAAAACAGCATGTCCCTTTCAACATAAGAAACAAAACTGCCCCTCAAAGAGAACAACCTCCTCGATCTTGTAGTTCTAGAAACACTGTTGAAACCATTTTGCCATCGGTCAACATCTTTTAGACAACCCAAATTGTGCTAAACTCTATAATGACGACATGTTTCGGATAATTGGCAGAGCCCGGTCGTCTTTCCATCTAGCAGTTTTGGAATCGATCTACATACAAACGAAAAAGCTGCCATTGTGTAGACAGAAGGAGTTCATTTTTTCTCTTAGACTCCAGTGGTAATTTTTCTTTACTCACGCGGCACTGATTGGTCAACTATACCGGTCTTATGCTTGCGTTTATCTGATTGGCCTTTTTCGATCCACATATGGGTATATATTTTTCATCGTGCTCTTTCGGACCCTTATTCTGACGCTTTATGCTCTGAGGAGTGTCAGACGATAAAGCTTTTAGCCAATATGTTGTAAAATGTTTGCTTTTTTCAAAGCCATTTTCAAGTTTTGTAGAGCTTGGGTACCCCTCTGAATGAGAGTGGATACGCCGTGAGGTTTGTAAAGGCTAAAGTGTTGGTGTGATCAGCCAATTTTGGCACTTATTCTATTGGATCACCCCAAAACTTTTTGCCAGTGGCTCCTTTTCAGAGAGGGTGACCTCCCAATTTCTATGTTTTTGTAGAGTATGCTAAAAGATTGTGATCTCAGATTATTCACTGTGTGATAACAACCGTTAGTATATATATGTATTTGTTCCTTTCCAGTTGGAAGCCAAGTCAGGAGTTGTTTTGCGTCCCGTTGTCATCATTGAAGGTCCTGATGCTAAAAAACTTGAAAATCTTCTTCACGAGTAAGTCTTTTTTTCAAAATCGTTTACGTATTATTTCAGAACTTCTATTGGAAAACATCAACATAGTTAAAAAAAAAACCATCAACTGATAATCTACAGTCTGTATTTTCGATTCGGACAGCGTTTTTATCAATGAAAATGGAAAGTGACGAATACGTGGCAGTGTATACGTAGACTTTGTCTAGACATAAATTTCATTTATTGTCCAGAATAGATTTTGGTCTTTAAGAATTATACCTGAGACATTATCCTTATTATGCAAAATGTATTTGGCGAAGATGAAGCGATCAATCCTTCAAACAGATTAGGTTTTAATTCACTTTTATAATCTGTTTAAGTTTCCTAGGCTTACTCGAGGCAGATAAGGGGTAAGGTCGAAATGAGAGACTTGGCCTAGGCTCCTAGATCTTCGAACGAGGCCACGTGCTGCTTTGTTGCTTTGAGTAAGAATCTATTTGAGACCTTGAGATAAGCTTAATTTTATTATTCCACTATTTTTAAAGTTCGTTATTGAGATAAGACAGAAACAATATACATTGTTTGAACTCGTGTTTTGCCTACAAGCCTTCGGTCAGGAACTATCACCTAACAATCAGCCCTGCGTCTATTTTGAATCCAATTATCAGGCCCATTTTCATTTTTGCTGGCGTACCTTCGTTACTGTACTTCGTTACTGTACTTCGTTACTATACTTCGTTACTATACTTCCCTTACTATACTTCCCTTACTATACTTCCCTTACTATACTTCCCTTAATGTGAAAGACTATTTCATTTATTAGTTGCTATATTTTCAGGTGTTAAGTTTATGTAGTTCCTCTTTATGACGCTCCCAGCCCCATTCTTGAGTATCTCTCCTGGTTTGTGCCCCTGGTTCGCATCTTGAGAGGCAAATATGATATTTTCTGGAAAAATGAGAGATCAAAATACCAAGTAGAAGAGTATAAAAGAAAATGCTTCTTCATTTGCGATATTAAGTGTCTTTTAAAACTAGACTGTTTTGATACATGCTTTGGCTTTCAAAAAGCTGAACTTTAAATGACAATTCTTAAATAAAATTACTAGACACCACAACCAGTTTGTCCCCAAGCAACCGAATGTAGAGCAAACAAGAATTCATCAAAATTCCCTGTTAGATCTGAAATGTTCGTAAACAACCGAGGCTGCAGTCAGTGCTCAAGCGCCATTCTATATTTAGTAGCTGGGAGATATTTTTGCCAGGGTTTTTCCGCGTTAATCCTCAAGAGCCGCAAAATTTAAAGGAAATGTGGATATGTGCCGCGACTTCTAATTTACTGTGGAACTCTGTCAACAGTTGTGGTGTCTGGTTATGTCTAACAAGCCGGGTACAACGTATAGCATTGTTCACTTTAATACGGTAGCAATTGCTAATTTTCCGATGACTAAGTTACCCTCCCTCCCCCTTTTATGTAATGGGCACACGCAATCGTATTTTCACATTAGTTATCGTTGCATTACGAATCCAAGGTTTGACAGTGTGAGTTACTACACTCTTTAAGTTAGTCAGCGTCTAGAGGACAGTTCTAGAGGAATAACGCGGAACCAAGCAAGCATGCTACTTACCCATAAGCTTATATTTAACTTTTCAAGGAATTTAACCGATTCTGTCTAATTTATTTAACATCTAGTAGCAGTTGGTTGCTTCTAAAGCTCTACGATAATTTTGCCCTTGTTTCAACACCTGAACTCATCTGCTAAACAACATTGCTGTGGAAAATTACAACATTGGATGTTTCTAATACCAACAACAAGCAACAAAAATTGGCTTTATGAAAATAGGGCAATCGCTGGTCTGAATTAAGTTTTCAAGGCAATTGATTCGAAGCACCTAAATAACTCTCCCAAAGTATCCAGTCCTGTTTCAAAATAAGCTAGGCGAGTAACTATTTTTGTGATTTATTCAAGAGTAAGATATCTGTTCAGATATTGGAGAAAATGGACATGATGATCTTGCCCTGTTTGTAGGTAACAATTGGTGTGCTAATAACTCTTCTGCATGTCTGGCTCTTTGCTTTTGTCTATATACTTAATATCAAAGAAAATCTACAGTAAGACGAGGTCTATATGTTCAAGAATTTTTAATTTGTTTTTCCTTTCCTTTGAAGACGCAAACTTTCAAGGGCGAGAATAAAGAATGAAGCTAAAAGTGTCTCACAAGCTGTGAGTATTCACTCTATATTTTTTACATCTTTTTTAAGTTCTTTCCATATCAGTTATAGTTTTGGTCAATCCAGTGACCTTTTTTCTCACTTTTGCATAAATAACGTATTCTAAATAATCAAATGAATATTTTACTGGCAGATCGATTCTCATGTTATAGATCGGGATTTTGTAGAGTAATGTGCTTGAAGAACTCTAAAAAGCTATTACGTCTGTCCGATCCTTTCTTGTATCTAGCTACCAGAAATTTGCCATGATAGACACATGCGAAATCCCAATGCTCTTTTTTGGTTTGAAGTCTTTTGAGTAAACCACCATATTGCTCACATAACGATATTTGTTGTCTTCTGACGCCAACGATACTTTATAAACAGTTTTCGGAATTAAAAAGTTTTATTTCGTTACCACATATCTTCCTTATAATATTACATGGTGTTTTCTCATAGTTTTCTTAGATAAAAGGTCCTTGTTGATAACATCTCTTAACGTGTTAAAGAGGTTACTCTGTATCAATATTGTTATTGTCTTTGTCCACCACGCACATAAAGATCATCATGAACTCTGTAACCACACAAAAGTACCATTATGAACCAAAATGTTCTGTTTATGAAACATCTATACTGAAATTCTTCTCTTGTTCGTTTTAGACTTCAAACGAATATTTTGACATGGGAATTTTCATGGCCTTCTTCATCTTGGTCTCTCTAATATGTTTAATATTGTTAATTAAGGTAAGTACAGCAGTCCAATGTATTGCCAATTAACAGTATAGTGTTTGATGTTTTCCATAATCACATTGGTCATGCACGAATTACAAAGATTGCAAAATACTTTGGTTTTCGCAAAAGCTCTGGAATGCAATCAGCACTGAATTTTCTTAACTTTATAATGAATTTAGTAGCCTTCAAAGAAGTTTCGTATGAGTTTTTTAGTCTCTTGGTTTCTTTGCTAATTAAATCACAATCCTTACGCTATATGCTAGTTTAGGGACTGCTTGGCATTGTTTTTTAATTCAAAATTTTGTGAAGTAATACAGTATCTTTAATACAAAAGACAGAAATTTATTTTAAGTCAACGAATTCAGATGCCGAATAAAAATATATCCTGTTGTTGCAATGTTTGTTTGTGTAAAAGTGAAACTGTAAAAAAAGCTTTATATGAACATGATGTGTACCTGGAGAAACTGGCTTTAAGACATTGTGAAAAGCATATTACGAAGATCAGATTGGTTACAAATATGGATCTAATTACCTTTGAGAAGTCTTATTTGATGTTATAACCATACATGAAGATAGCCAGACTATGTACTGCTGAAAAATAAGAGTTTGTGAATTGATTTGTTTGTGAATTAGAACATTCCAATTTTAAAATTTGTGTTGCCTTTTCATTGTTGTTTTTGCAACACTTTCTCTACATTTTCTAGATCAAGTGGCGGCAAAAACGAAAGCAGACTTCGTTAACTCGTATGGCGCTGCAAGCGATTTCGCGCATGGAGACTCGAAAGTACACCAGTGAATTAGGGTCACAGCAGAGTCTTGAAAATGCATTCATCTGTAATCGTTGGCCGTATTATGATATTAGAAGCTGTGCAATTTGCTTAGAAGAGTTCAGTGAAGGACAGGTGTGTGTTTTTGCATTCATAGCGTATCGTTTTGAGTCCTTTCATCTCACAATACCTTTTTTATTTCAATTGAAAATCCTAGTTGAAAATTGTATGTTGAAGAAGTTTTGCAAAATTTCACAGCTATAAAGAAATAGGGTGCTTCAAATGATGTAAGTTTAATTTTTTTTCATGACTTCTTTGCGAAATTTTAAAGTGGAATATAATCAGCTAAAGTTTAGTTCTTGATTTTCAGCAAGTTGAAGTTATGGGTGCCATGTGTTGAAATGATGAGTTTTTTGAATTTGAATCATTAAGACAAAAGTATGATAACTTTTTAGTTACTTGATGAACGTTCTTTTTGCTGTAGGATATCCGTATCGTACCATGCCGACATGAATTCCACAAATCGTGCGTTGATCCGTGGTTGCTCTCTAACTGCACTTGTCCTCTCTGCATGTTAAATATAGTCGGTAAGTCAATTTTTACGGTATCATATTTGAAAATCTTACTCTGACATTCAATTTTACAGACAAAATCTCAGTATCTACGATGAGGATTATTTTTCTTTGGAATAAATCAAAGCCATTTCGGTCATGGAATGCTAGGGAATTTTCCGTATACCCCAAAGCGTTTTTCCACTACAAAATTATCTTCATATAATGCTCAAATGTTGGACCTGAATGGGTTCAGGTGTGATGGTACAGATGTATTCATTGTCTAGCGACTACTTAAATATTTGCTCGTTGAAGCCTTTAAGCGGAATGGTTGTCCGTTGTTTCAGTGCTTTAAAAAGGTCCTTATTGGTGTTTCAGAGAAAAACGATACTTATTCATTTATTTAATCTTGTTTATATACGATATCGATTCAGTACAGAGAAAAGTTACGATACGCAAAATTGAAATTACATTACAATAAACAATTGTTAAGGTTAGTCAGAAAGTTTACTAAAAGGCAACTAGCGTTAAGGTTACTAAAGATAAAAATTGTCTGACCTTCCATGGGCTCGTGCTGAGCTGATTTCGGTTAGGTCAAAAGGTTTTGGCTCAAAATACTTATTGTACCTTTCTTTTATCAAAGGCTTGAACAAAGGCCTATAAAATGAATTAAGATTATGGCAATAGAATCAGAGACATTTAGTAGGAGCTAGGGTACATAGGTGTAGGATACAAAGGGGCTGCGAGCACTGCAGCCCCTCTGATCAGGCAGAATGTATCGCTTTTCAGGCTCCATTCGGGCAATATACGGGCAAGATCAATGCTACGTCGATGCTAGTGTAGGTCTTTTTGCATAGCATAGCATAACAACCCCCCCCCCCACCCCTCCCCCCGTATTGACATTCATATTGACGTAGAGACCGTTAATGACGAAAAAAGACAAAGTAAAACAGTAATTTGCATAAATTGTACATTTTTTGACTAAATCAAGGGAAGAACCATCGAATCAAGGAAATTAAGATTCACAAGTTCGAACCCCAAAAGCAACAAACCTTTTCAGGTTCAGCTAAGGTCATGCTAATAGATTTGTCAAACATGATTTGACAACAACTTTGTCAATTGCTGATACGATTATCTGAAATTTCTTTCATTGACTTCTTATTATTTTTTGTCTCTTTTTAGAACCTTTCGATAGGAAGAGAAGATCAAACTCACTGCGGAATCAGAGAAGAAATGGCATTTTTAGATATTGTATTGCATTGTCCTGTGGTAATTCGGAGATTAACCAGGACGAGATTAGCGCCGAAGAAACATTTACAAATATTGAATTAGCTAGTACTACTAATTATTCAGATCCGCGTTTATCGTACCAATCAAGAAGGAGCATAGACAGTCCAAATACCATAATCGAACATTCACAACAACCTAGTCAGTCTTTTATAAGCTTGGCTGATGTCCATACGACTAACACTATGAACAGCGACTGTTTGCAGCCGTATAGATTTCCTAGGTGTAAATTCCATCATAAAAAGAATCGACATCGAACTACAACATCGCCACCGCCTGAGCAAGCGGAATCAGATATCGAGCATTCTATCGTTGTTGTTGCTGATATACCCGTTGACAATTTTGATAAAATGATCGAGGATGTTGTCTGAATGTAACTAACCTTAGCGGAAATAAACGATTCGTGGGACACCTTTCGCAGAGACCTTTATGGCCTGTGTGGATTGCCCATTAAAGGTCATTTGTTCAAGAAATGAAAGGTGAAACTGAAAGTGATCAAGGCATTACAATTTGCTTTACGGAACACATTCACCTTTACCAGAATTGCTACATGCCACCTTTGTGAGACATTCCACCTTGACTAAGCAGTTTTCACTTCTACTTCGAAACACAAAGGGATGGATGTATATTTAACAATGGCCTTTTCAAATAAGGACTGGATAAATTTTCATAATAAGTGGGGATCGATGTTTCGGTCTTTTAACACATTCGTCCTGCAATATCAGGATGGGGATGGATACCTTCATTGGAGTAACACCAATATAATGATCTTATTGTTATTTAGTGTTTTGTAAATACTGCAATTTAATTGCATAATAATTATTTCATTCGAAAACAACCCCTTTATTATTTTGCTTGACACCTTATTGTAATGAAAATACATGAGATTTAATCTACATCTACAGTTACATCTATCTACATCTACCAATAACTATCTGGCTTCTATAGAGAAGATTCTGACAGGGTGACAGGCAAGAGTGGGAGGTCATTTAAAAAATAGACAATTGAGAATTGAGGTGTTGGACCTTAGCCAAGGCGAACCATTAGTCTCCTCCAGGTTTCTGTGTACCCATATAATAGTATGTATTAGTAGCATAGTACTTATTATCTGCCTATGGTTTGCCCAGGTCGTTCAGGTGGTTCAAATGATTGTTCAGTCTTGAATATGATCCAAAAGTACTCTAGATTCTAAGCTGATGGTTGAAAAATTTATTGCATTTTTCTTTTATAAGCAGAGCTTATTCAAAGGAAAATTTCCGTCTGGTTCAAATGATTGTTCAGTCTTGAATATGATCCAAAAGTACTCTAAGCTGATGGTTGAAAAATTTATTGCATTTTTCTTTTATAAGCAGAGCTTATTCAAAGGAAAATTTCCAGCTCCACAAATCATCTGAACATTTCTTGGCGCTATATACTCTTAAAGCAGGGCTTCTTTCAGAGCAAATGCATAGCAATCCACTAAATATTTTTATAGTAGTAGATGAACTTGTGACAGGAATTGGCAACGCCCCCAAGAGGTATCGGAGGCTGCAGTGCAAAACCAGAAGTGGAAATTTTTTGCAGCCATGCCCTTTAAATAAGCTTGAAATACATCCCAAGATTTTTCTTGCAGACATTTTCTTATAATCGTTTAAAACGTTTTACTTTTTTCGGCATTATTTTATTAACGTATTTTAGAAATTCATTACTCTATGGGACCCTCGAAGCCCTTATGCAATTTGCCCCCTCTAGGCCGCCCTGGTGTAGGTTAAAATTCTTTTGTAATCTGGCGTATCCCAGACTTATGCCTTTGTCCCACAATCGCAAACAGCAACCTTTCCAGCATCATTACAGTCGAACTGTTTTATTCCAGCGAAATGTGATAAAAGAAATAATCAAAAATCCAACATTTCTGTGTTGTTTTGTTTTAATTTTTCAACTCCACAGAATTTCATATCCAACTCCACATTTCGAATTCCAGCTCCAAGGAAATTTTTGGAGAGGTAAAGATGTGCTTTTTGCCGACAAAAAAGGCGTGTTTCACTCTTTAAGGGTGTGGTCAAAAGATAAAAACTCTTATATGCTGCCTTAATGCGCTTCTGTTTCAAAGTAAATACTTTAGTGTCATACTTTCAAAGTTCAGCTACTACAGAAATCTTAACACGTTACAATTGTTGCCAAAAGGTTACAGAGTGAGTACAAAAATTGCTTCTTTTGCCCGGCAAAAATCCTTTCTCTGCCGATGGACAAATTGTTTGGGAGGGTACCACACCCCCTTTTAGCGACGCCCCTGACTTTACTTTCCAAGGGCTGGTTATGCCAATCCAGGACAACCGAAAAACGTTGAGGGCTGACTATTAGAACTTTGATATAGAAAACAGGCATACATCCATGGTTGGAATTAACAGCAAAATTCGCGTTGAGTCTGTTTCATTCAAATATATGCTGCAAGTCATTAACGAAAGTGGAAGAAAAGCTGGTACTATGTTTGATTTTATCTACCTGTTCTAAAGAAAATGGGTTATATTCATAGGTGCAGACATTAACAAGCTGCTTACTAGGAATTCCGTAGTCATCATGTTTTCTTATATTCAGCTTGCTCGCAGCGCAGCTAAACGATTTTTGAAAAACCACAAAACATATTACTTTTACTCCATTGCTATCTCAGCCCCCCCCCCTTAACATGCCAGTATTTGTTGGTTGGGCGATTTCCCTACTTGAAATGTGAATAAAACTTGACCTAATGAAATTTAATCGCGTTTAGTATATGTGGTAGGGTACGCCTTTTTGGTGTTCCTTGGGTTTTTGTTTTTGGCACAGATAGCACAATTTCGGAATTTTGCGCTTTTGGTAGCAGTGTTTGAGTAAGCATTACATTGTGTCTTTTATAAGGCCAAAGCAACAAGCGCGCAACCCACCTGACCCATGTTTTCGTATTTTCAGGTTTTTATTAGCAGGTGATTTTCTGTTTCTTTTCATTGTGCATTAGTTAATTACCGAATTGCTAGCAACTTTGGCACAAACAATGTGTTGCTAGAAGGTGGACGCAGGCCATTGTTTCTTCTTCTCAATCCCTTAATAGGAGTTGTGGTTTTATTTATGGCCATCTTTGCATTTGGCTCATCGACAGCCCCCAAAAAAGGTTCAAATGATGAGAGAACACCACCTCCAGTCTTGTAAATGAAAATATACAGTTATTCTGAGGTCCTTTTTCCACTTCTTTGCTAAAGTTTTGTACTGTAACCTGAGAAAAATATGAAACCCTTTATTTGTCCTTGATTTTCAATGAATGAGCAATTTCTACCAATCTTGCAGAGTTGGTTAAAAGTTTGAATAATTTCATATACTCAACAGAGAATCTTTAACACAAATGCAGAGTCTTGGATTTGGATCTATAAGTTGCCTTCATTACAGCCCATTTCCTGGCTGTTTAGGGAAGCACCCCTTATCCCGAGCTTACACATTTTAGGTGTTCATTAAATTTAGATATTCGCAAGTAACAACGTCACAACAACGTGTTGTTTCGCAAATAACTTAAAAGGTTTAAAAGAATCGATAAAACATTTGACTTACAGCACGATCAAGGTCTTTCTTAGTGCATGATTGCAATCGACGATCACAACTGTTCCTTAAAAACTTTTACCAAGCTTATTATCAGCGGAATTTTGCAAAAAGTTCATGTCTCCTTAAGAATTCTAAAATCATTGATAGCTTTATTTAAATTTTATTTTGAGTTCCCCTTTCTTCGGAATATTAGAGATTGATTACAGATATTGCAAATAAATTTCTCCTCCAAACAAATTCCTTTGCTAATCGCTAGTTTGGCGGATAATATTTGACATTTGAGTTTACACTGTTTGGAGGGAATTTGTTTGTTACTTAGAGTGTCTAAGTTTAAAGAAATGAGCTCATAATTCTAAAAAGGCTAAATTTAAGTAGTAGTCCATAAAATAATTTACCAGGCAATTTAACTGTGGATAAGAAGAGAAGGCCAGTCTGGCAACCCTTCGACAATGGTTTCTCAAAGATTTCATAGCCTCGTTTACAGATTTCCCGCCAGCCTAAACAAAAATGGCTGCCGTGCAGGAACATTGATAAACACTTGAACGGGCAAAGGCCCTTGCACTTCAGGTTTTAGAAATAAAATAAAGGTAGTTTTGAGCAATGGCATTCGATGAGAAAGTACCAGACCCATTATTTGTTATTCGAACTGGTTTGAATGGAATAGCTTGTCTGTCAGAGGGATTTACGTCATGGCAAGATCTCGATAGTGATGACTTCGTTTTTTCTGGGTATGTTGTATGTAATGTGTTGTGTTGTGTTGTCTTTTAGTGCAGACTCCGCGTATAGTCTCTTTATTTGAAGCCAGCCTACCAGAACAGTCATATAAAACTAAGATCCAACCATGCAAAACTGTTCAAAACAGTCACAGTCTAGTCTGCTTTTACAGTTACAACTTTTCAAGTCAAGCAACATTTTGCGTAACATAACCCATGAGTTGTTTTTATGTGTTGTAAGAAAGTTGAATCAATAACAAAAAGTATTTGCAAAATCCTAGAAACACTAAGAAATTTTTTTTGAGGGATAATCAACAAATTTTGTTGTCCAACTTAACATAAATTTACCCCCACCTGGCACCCTCCCCTCTTAAAGAGTAATGCTTACTACTTAGACTTTAGAGTGGCATCATCCTTTTGGTGCACTTTGTCATATAAATCTAATAAAAGACTGTACCAATGTAAAAAAGAATAAATACAATTTACAGCTTTCTAAATGTGTGCTTTATATTCCGTTATGATCCAGGTTCAATATTCAAAACAGTTTCCTAGTATTAGCAAGTTGAACAACTGATTGTTTTCATTGACAAAATCTAGGCCCGTCGCCCTTATTATCACCTGAAAATGGTGCACCCGAAAATTCAAGGCCGCGGAGAGGATTTATGGTCCCCGGGTCAGGACGAAAGTTAATAGAAAGCATTCCTTAGGCAGACACTTCTAGGGGATAGGGGGGAGGCTCTCCGGGAACTTTTGAAATGGATAATTGTTGATAAAATTGCTCTGGTGGCTAGTTTGGTTGCTAAAATTGCTATGGTCTCTAAACTGGGAGGTCAGAGGGGGCAAACCCCCCCTGCCCCCTGTAGAGCTAAACTGCTATGTTAAAATGCATGAAAAAATATAAATTCTTGATAGATTTTTGTCGAAAAATCTAGGTTTCTCACCCTTCCTATGAATGTTCCTATCTAGGCCATTGTCTGGTGGCTATTGCTTCTGTTTGCTAATTGGTATAATTTGAGCATAAAAATTTCTTAGAAATTCGAAAAGTCTTGGAAAATGGAAATCGATCACAACCAATTCACTGTTTCAAACAGATGCACACATCTTTTAAGTACGCTGACTGTTGTCTAGCGATAAAATCATGACGCTTCAGTTTTAGAAGACTTTCAAGAAGATAATTTATGAAATCACAAGTTGATTTTGTTAAAGTTTCGAGGCTTGTTCGATCAACACTTATCCATGAGTTGAAAGTTATTTCCTCAACATCTAATTGCTCAAAAATTTCTGCCAGTTCAGTCTTCAAAATTTCTGTTTTTCCACAGTTTTTGCAATTTCCCAGAAAGCAGTGTGGGAGCGGAGGATTGCAAGTTAATTTAGCTAGCAAGTGCTGGTAGCTGACTTTTTCATCAAATCCATCACCAACCAAACTTCTAAATTCAGGCAATTGAAAAATGCCAGAGTTCTCCAGCATCAGCTTCGTGTTTTGGTGAATGGTACAGACACAAACACGATGTGCTCCACTATCCCCTGGTAAAACAACATTCTTTGGTCGAAATTCACAGAATTTTGAAAACCCAATCGAAACTTGATTTTCTTCTTTGAATTTCAAATATGCTTCTTTTAAAGTGCACAAGATCAACCTCTTTTGAATCCTTTCCTTCACACCATGTACCCTCATCGATATACAGTCTTTTTTACCAGGCATTGATCTACTTACTTCAGCACTGGCATAAAAATCTCTAACCAATTGAACAACATCATTGTGTATTGCATGACCTGGCTTTGGATTTGGGGTTGATAGGATACCCTTTTCTACCACAAGTTTTTTAACTCGTCTTGCCATGTAGTCTGAGCACTCGAACTCCGTTGAAATTCTCCTTGTACTCCAACTTTTTGGCAAAACCGTGAGCACCTGAAGTTTTTCCGCTCTTCCAACAGAGGAATGAAACTTTTCCTTTAACTGATTCAAGATTTCATCCAGTTCTATCTTCGACTTGGCCATCTCATTTTCCTTGCTCTCCTGAATTTGCTTTACTCCCATTTTCAATTTTTTTCTTATTGCTCCAGTGATTTTTTCAACTTTTTGTTCTGAGTATGCCTTCGACTCAATCAGTCGTTTCTTTTGAATAGGTGATTCCCCGATTCCTGACAAAGAAGAATTAATGATACCTATGTCAGCAGCAAATGATTCGAACTCATCATTGTCATCTTGTTCCTCAGGATCACTCATGCTACCATGCTCTTCATATGGTGTCACTCTTACCAACATAGCATCTGCTTGAATTCCCTTCCTACAGTTTGTGCATAATTTTGACCCTGGTATTAAGCTTAAATGCTTATATTGGAAACATTTTCTAAGAGAAACCTCCCTAAGGCCCTTTGTTGGCAGTTTTCCTTTGTGTTGCCCCAGCGGATTAGCACAGTACTTCTGATTGATTGAGAATAATGTTAAATATATTTTTCTATGTCTTTGACAAAGATTTCCATCAAAGTCAGCTCTCAATCGCCAACAGAGCAGCTCTTTTTCCTGGTCATCAGGATAATAGAATAGAATTCCTCTCCAGAACTGACACGATTCATTTAGGAGGTGACCAGCCAAACAAGTACTCTCCAAAACACTCATTTTTACTCAACGCAAATCAATCACTGTTAGCTCCGAAAAACAATCTGAGAAACCTCCAGTTTTTCCCTTATTTTATACCTTACTCACAAACACCTGCAACCATGTGACCAATTGAAAGGACAGTGACATGGCATGATGTAATTTCTAAATGAGTAAGCATTGCTTAGGTTCCATAAGTCAGAGGTCAGAAAGCTGATAGATAACCTAGGTAACCAGACAAAATAAATTTATGATGACAGATATAAATTTGAAAAACAAACACCAATTAAAGCTATTTCTATCCTCAATCTATACATTAAAAACGTGCAACCAGGTGATGTGGTACGATGTAATTTCTAAATGAGTATGCATTGCTCAGGCTTCATAGGTCAGAGGTCAAAAGTGAATTGGGAAATGAGGTAACCAGAACAAACTAAATTTATAGTGACAGATATAAATTTGAAAAGAAAACTCCAAGAAAGTTTTTTCCAAACTCTCTATGGTTTATAAGAAACGACATTCCCTCTCCCTAGTTATCTTATTGATCAACTGAATGATACTTTAAGGCTACTTTGCAGCACTACATACTAGAAGAGTACTTGTCTGAAATTATATATCAAGGAAGTATATGATGCAGATAACAGTTTCATCATTTTTAGTGAACAGAAACCTTTTGCACTTTTAAGATTGGTAGATTAACATTTCCTTGACACCTGTTGCTTGAATTATTATTATTTTTTAGCTAGTTGAATCCTGATATTATGTATACATGTTACATCTGTTGCAATTTTTGCAGAGGTATACCTGATCACCTGATGGATTCAAAAACAAAAAAAGAGAACATCTAATGCAAACTGGCAGCCAACCTCCTTCTACTTTAGATTAGACAGCTTTATGCAAGGAATGACAAAAACATGCACGATTATAATATATAAGGCTTGATACAAGAAATTGAAAATATACATTTCATTAAGGGTAAGTTTATTAAAAGGCCTCTTACTTGAAAACAACAAGAAAACCCCAAAAAGATATTTTGCACACAGACTTGGGATATCAAATGGTTAACAAAAAACCAATTTTTGCTTTGGGAAATTGATATATTTTTGGGAGGAGGGGGTAGAAAGAGAAATCTTTATTTATTGCTTTCAATTAACATTGAGGCATTTGCTGATGTAGAAGACTCCATTTTCTGCCAGGAAATCAAATTTCCTTTAACATGAGTCCTTGCTTGCCTCTGTAGGTAACAAATTAAAGGATTTACAACTTTTTTCTATTCTGGGGGGCTGCGTATCAACCGCATTACCCCAAAACTTTAGAAGCCCATAATTTTGCATGTAAAAGGGGCAGGAACATAAAAATTGGCAGAAGTGGATATCTTTGCACATTAAATCTAATGGCCAAATTTCATCAAAATCTGAAAACTTCAGGTGAAAAATTCCATGTGAATGTGTTGATTTGACATGGAATGACCCACATGCCATGGTGTAAATCTGTATGATGTACATATTGTTGTATGTTGCCTTGTAGCAATCACATTTTTTGGTAACATTCAGAAGCTTTTCAACTTCTTTAACCCAAGCCCACAAAGATGAGAAATTTTAAACAAAAATATCTTTAACAAGGCAGTCAACCCCCCTAACCCTCCTCTCCTCAGCACTGCGAAAATTACAATTTTTACAGACTTTGAAAATTGATAAATTTCTGTGAATAATCAATTCTTCAAAAACAAACCAAATAGGTATAATAAAATGTCCGTCAATTAATTCACAAATTAATGTTTTTTCTTCTTCTCACAGCAGTTTAACTGCCCCCCCCCCTTGTTTTTTACTCCATTCAGAAACTGAATGACTTTGACAATGTGAAATTCTAAATGCCAGTCAAAATACTCGTAGCAAGCAACAGGTGAACCAAGAGGGCAATATCCGCCCAATCAACATTTATTTGTAAAACACCTCCTGATTTGTTCTAACTTTTTAAATCTTGCACACTGATATATTGTGTCAACACAGAAAGGCGGTTTTATTAACCACAAGTAAATAATTTTTATTGTAACGAAGAGTAAATGAGGAAATTGAAACCAAAGTTTTTGCATAACCAAAAAACAAAACCAAAAATTTAAGGGTACTTACTTACGAACTGGTTCAAGGTAAAACATTTGAAAAACTTGTTGGAAAATGTATTTATTTGTTAAAAAGAATCAGGAACAGCCTGCAACTTAAAGATTAGTCATCAGCAAGTTATTTTCACGTGGTTTTTGAAGAAAAACTAGGCCCAGTGTACTCTTATTTATATTTTTACAAGTGGTATTCCAATCATGCAGATTTTTGCGGGTGCACCAAGAGGGCGATGCCACTCTATATGAAAATGAATTATTTGTGTGTCGCAGATGCCCAGAACAGCTACATTCTGACTAGCCTGTGGATATTGGTAGGAAATTTGTTAAATTGGTATGTTTTGGTTTGCATTATGACTTAAGATGCTACCAATTAATACTTTTTGATAATATACATAAAACAAATAAAGTCAATTATTTTCACTTTTCTCTCAAATGTACAATTTTTAACTGATTCTACCTTAACCCCATCCACCCCTTTTATGAGCCTATTATGTTAAGTGGGACAAGAATTATTTGTCAATGACAATTTAAGCTGATAATGATAGTGAAAATAAATTATTAAATATCAAGTAAATTTGTTGTTAATGGCTTTAAATAAGATATCCTTCTTCTGACCAGGGGCAATTGAAAATTATATTATTTGATTTATTGCAATTTTTCAATTGGAAATATCCTCCTTTAATAGCAAATAATGCAAAAACTAACTGCTAGTAATTGAAATTACTAGCCATCATGAGGCCATCATGAGGTATGATAAAATATATATTCGAAGTTTTGATTGCATTAAACTTTGAAATCTTTGCCTGTTGATAAAGATTTTAGCAATAGGTTCTCCAGACAATAACAAGTTTTTGTTGCATTTTATATTTTCTGAAGTGGTGACTGATTGTGGTATTAAGTTATAATTCGAATACCCATGCTTCTCTAATAAAAGAGACCTATGCTCTCTATTAGCATTATGTTCCCTTCCTCAGCATAAAAGGTGGTTGCCAAGCACCTTTTCAAAAAATTTTTGCGTTACAACAGCTGTTCACTAAGCTCCATTCTATTTGCTTTTCTGTTATTTCAATGGAACTCTTCCTTTTGCTTTTTGACATCTTTAAACTGTGTAGTACTAAGTCCAATCCATTATAACTATAGATGAATGGGGATTTATAAGAAGAACATTTTGAAATGTTTTCTGACCCTACTCAAAGGGTTTACGTCTCAGCTAATAAAGCTATTCCATGTACTCCTAAACCCCACTGATCTTCTTTCAAGCTACATTTTTCTACTTATCTTCTTGCATTTTAATGTATTTTTAACACTGCGGATTCCTTTGATCATTGTGTAGTGTTTCATTTATTAATTAGTATTTGCCTGCTTTATTTTCAATAAAATTTATTTTTTAGGTCAAGTAGTGGCATTGTTAATCTATGGAATATGAAAACAAGAAGATCGATTTTAACTATTGATACAAAAGCAAGCAGTGCCATCTTGAAAGTCATCAATCTTGAGAACAAGAGGATATTAAGGCATGAAATTTGAGCTTTTCTTTGTTTTCTTTTTATTACATTGCAAGTATCTTTAAACAGGCTATCTACATTCAGACCCTGGACATAAGAATTTTGGTAGTTGGGCGGTAAATCGCTCTCCTTGTTTGAGTCAGGCAAGCAATTTAAACAAAATGTAAAATTTTTCAGTAAAATTTCTTGGAAGCATTTATACACCAGTTAGAAAGAGAATGATCTTAAAAATAAAAAAGGAACTTATCTTTTGAGAACTTCCTGCAACTGAACAAAATGGATAACAAGTTCTATCTACTGTTATTCATAACTATAAATTCATGCTCACTGGAATTTGATTCTTATTCACTAATTCTTAAAACTTCCTCTTTGCTCTAAACTCCACAAAATTGTTCCATTTTAAAATAAGTTTTTGTCATGTTTTACAACCCAAGACAAGATATGCATGTAATTTTAACTTAAAACTCTTCTCAAAAATTTCTGAAAACTCATTCCATTATGTAAATTTACGAAAACGCATTAACAAACTTACATGTGGAAGGGGATAAAAGTGACATTTGGAAACGTTAATCTTGTTTGGTTTCAACATGAACAATCTTCCTTGAACAGTAATGAAGCAGACCAAAATAAAATTGCCATGACAGTTTGTTTTGTTTAAATTATGTGATTTTTAAATGACACAATGTTCTGTTCTGTCTGTGAGGTAGTCTTCTTATAGAGGCATAATGGCCTGATATTTTCTCTAGTTTCATCAAACGACCAAATGTCACCTATTGCTAGGGGTCAGGCCAGATCAAAAATGTGCATGGTGGGAAATTTTTGCATTCATTTCCAATGTTTAAAAGTAGTTAACAAATTGATGAGTTTTTTTAGAATAGAAAGAATTATCTGATGAATTTTTGTAATATTTGAATACGAGTAGACAGGGGCTTCAAAATCCATTGAAAAACAAATTTCTGACCTAACATTAATGCTTGTAATATGATGCTCGATATTTCTATGTGATTAACATACTATAGTCTCCATAAATAGAAGCTTAAGATGTGACAAGTATATTTAGCTTAAAATGCCAAGTTCATGAGCAGGGGGTAGTTGAATTCTATAGAAATATATCGTTAGAAGAAGATTGGAAGTTTTGCAAGATTGCAAGAGGCTCTTTAAAAACCTTTAAAACACATTATTTAACTATAAGGTGCAGCTATACAATTTTAACATATCAATACCTTATGCCCTTATGCTCTGCACTCTTTTGTTGCATCAGAGATGCAGTTGTTTATATATTGTGCTATTTGTTTGAAAACTCTGTTCAGTCTTCATATCATGGTTTCTTCTATTTAGTCTAATAGTCTCCTACCTTGTTTTAATTTAATTATCATCAACACTCCTTGTTAATTTATCACTTACTGGAATAATTGAAATATGATTTATATTGTAAGCCATGGTAAACACACTAATATATTAAAATGCGTGTGGTACAATATGATGCTATAATAATGATCAATGTAAGTAAATTGTACCAGGAAAAATTTTTTTAAATAATTAATGACGTTTCGAGCATAGCCCGTTATCAAGTGATAATTTCAACCAACCTAACAGGCTGTGCTCGAAATGTCGTTAATTATTTTAAAAAAAAAATTTTCCTGGTACAATTTACTTACATTGATCATTATTATGGTAAACACGTTTTTGAAGAAGTTTTCTTTTTTTAGCCATAATGATTAAACTTTGAAATTTAATGTTTTGTCATTCTAGTCATGATAGAAATGGCATCATCACAGTTTGGAATTTGAATGACCTGGAACCCACTGCTGAGGAGACCTTTGCTATTTATCAGTTTGGATTCTGTCCAGTTAGTGTTGTTCATGAAGGTAATGGATGTTTTTAAGTGATTGTGAATGTTTCCTACTAAACAGAATATATGTAAGTAAATTCATCACCATCATAGATGCAGACAGGCACTTAATAATGGGCGGATCGTTCACTCAACTGAGCATGATATTTTCCTGAATTTTTTATTATTTCCTAAAAGCCCTATCATCAATATCATGAAAAACATGTGTGCAACCAGACAAAGCCTCTCAGCTGCAATGTTTTTAAATTTCCATGCTTTGATGTTTGAATGAAAAATTGCTTCAATGATTAGCATAATTGTTAATAATTAATGACTTCATTTGATAAACAAGGAAATGACTAGTACAGAAAAGAGCAAGGCTTTGAAGCATTAATGGTAGGCTGAAAAAGTAACTGTTTCATTTTGCTGATGTGAATAATGATAATATAGTGATAAAAGCAAGAAAATTGGGTTGGCCACAAATAGTAGCTATTGGAAAACTCAATGTTTATGTCTTTAAAATTGAATATCATCCTTGGGGACATTATCCATAATGACTGATATTTTGCTGTAAGGGGTCTGGTGATTAGAATTTTTGCCAAATTTGAAAACGTTTTATAGTTTCAATTTATTCAATTCCTATTTGCCAAATTTTATAATCAATGAATGAGCATCATCTGAGAAAATCCCAGCTCTCTCCATTTACTGAGTTTTTGTTCCTTACAAATTTAAGTTGCAACTGTTTCATTTTTTTCATTACTTTTTGCAAGTTTCGTATATTAGACGCATCAGCACCTCAGGAAAGCTAACACAGTAAAAACTAAAAATATTTGTTGAAAAAAACAAGATTAAAGAAGAAACAGATTGATTAAGTGATAATCAGTTTCATAGTAAAACTTAGACAAAATTGCCATGAAATGATAAAGATTATGTGCAAATCAAATCATAATTGTATTTTTTTCATTTCAATCAAGATGAAAGTATTCTGGTGTGCTACCAATCGAATTCTGACTCACAGGTGAGTTTTTGTTTGTTACGTTTGTAAAGCTTAATATTTGTTAAAATTTTGTTGAAAAAAGGGGATATCGTATACATTTAGTTTCAAGCTTGTCGCTAATAAAAGTTGAAATCTAATACATTCCTCAAGGTACGTGCTTGGTGTATAGAACAAGAAGGTTTTCAATTTGTGTTTCACACTTAATGCGATCATCAGGCAACAATTTGGGTGAACAGCTCGGCCTTGACGAGGAACTAGGAACAAAAAACAAAATGAAGATCAAGGAAGAATCTTAACTGTACGGCAAAAGTTTCTTATCATTTATACCCTGTTGTTTTGTAAGGATTTTTGCAATTAGTGTCTTTTCAACGCGTAATATTGTTAGGTTTGTTAACACAAAATTTGCAACAATCGTGCAAATTATGATACCAGCATGAAAACTTCACAACTTATGTAGTTTGAGATGTAGAATATGATGCAAAACAGAAGAATTCCCGTAACAGCTGTTTTTAGAACACTCAACTTGGTCCCAGTTCTCAAAATTTAAAAAAGTAACTTTTGAGCGATATAATGAGTGTATGTCTGCAATATTTGGTATTCATATACAATCTGAAGTGTAAAATGTCAAGCCAAGCAATAAGATCCATAGATTGCCCCATATTCTATTATTGATTGAAATGAATTGACAGGTATAAAAGTGGCTTATGCCGGCTGTCAATCAATATTAGCCAATCATTAAGCGTTTGAGTGGAATCACACCCACTGATTGGTCTATTTTTGATTGAAAGATGGTTTAAACCTCTTAGTGTTGATTGCCTTTGAATGCTTGTTCCTCGTCGTTTTGCATATTCTTTATTTATCATCGCAAGATTCATTTTATCCTGTGGACGGTCTCATCTCACTCAAGGTCTCTTTTTTTAGCATACTGGCAATTCTGCCTTGGCAAATGGTCATATGACATGACATAGGGTTTTTGAAGCCACCTTGTTGCCTAACTCTTTGTTTGGTATTTTCATAACATTGTAAATTCAAATTGAATGCATTTGGGTTGCTTCAAACTGCAGAACACGGCAAATTTTCAACAAGTTGCGGTCTCAAAAAAAGAATGCATTGTGACTAGTTTCTCGATATCAAGAGTCAAGCTACCCTCTACGGGACATGTTGATTGAATGTATCAACTTTTCTAAATCTAAATCTTGGTTTTCTTTTCTAATTTATCTCAACTTCAAGCCTGCGTGGCAGGTATTTTGGCACCCCATGGGTGGGTTTTCTCTTACTACGGTTTCATTTACATTCCGAGCTGCTTTTAATTGATTTTGCAAACTCTCCGGCAACTGCTCTTTTATTGAAATGAAAATTTATTGGCAATTTCGGAACTAGATTGAAAGGGAATTTTTGTTTTGCTCATATTTTCACCCCACTTTGCAGCCTCTCTGGTGTCTTGAAGTAAATAGCCTTCACTCTAGCTGTCTGCACATGCATATGTCGCATTAGCAGTTGGCTAATAAAACAAAAGCGTTTAGAGTGGAATTCCATTGTTTTCGTGACTTTTCATTTCTTCTTTATTTATTTTTACTGCCGCAAAATTCACCCTCGCTTCCCTGTTTGTACTAAACAAAAGACATAATTGTATTGCATCAGCCAATCATGTTCAGAACACATGCCCTTTAAACTTGATTCTCACAAAAAGATACGCGAAAAATTTGTATTATAAGCGAACGCCGTCCAAAATGTCAGATTTGTCGAATCGGAATACATAAAATTGCAGCCAAAGATATGGCCCCAAGCAAAATAATTGGCAAATACGTTTTTCTCTCAATTTCTATTTTTACGTACATTCTCATAAAAACTTTACAAACATACATGAGTTAACCAGACGATTCCACAGGATGCATTGAAATACATAGCAACCCTGTGGCAATTTGCAATCATATAATAAAGGAAATGATATAAGGAAATTTTCCAGAAATGGTCATTAGCCGAACGTGTTCTATTCTCAGTTTGTCTTTTTATGAAGAGAATGGACCAGCATACTAAATGAACCGCAAATGAGGCAGAAAATGGTAAAAATGTTTCGAAATTGATGAAATTACAGTTCTTAATTTTTTAGAGTCATCTACGTAGAAATTTGCATTAGGAAATCGAGGATGAGCCTGAGAGCGCGAGGCCACTGACCACTAATAATGGGAACACACTTTGATTCGAAGGCCGTTATTTTAGAATCAGGGTCTCTCATGGCTTAGTTTGCCTGTTTTTTTTTGAAAATTTGTCGAAAAGTTTATAAAGTTATCTTTGGTTCATTTTACCTCACTCCTGTGTATGATGGCTGGCTGGTATTTAATCACGATCTTAATAGATTAACTCCTGTCCAATTTTCGTCTAAAATTGTTACGTCTCGGTAAATTTGCTCTAATTGAATATTTTCAAGTAACCTCTTACTTGCAATTCAGCTGGACATCATTGATTGGAAGGATAAAAGAATTGTTAAGCAATTGAAACCGGATAAAAAAGTAGGTGAGATATCTAGCAAAGTTTTCCCTTTGAAAATTCCATAACTTTTACTACTAATTTGCAATTTTACTGCTTCCATACTTAATCCGGAATTTCACTGTAGACGAAGCGAATATGTTCTAACTACAATCCCGGACAAAAAAGTTGAATTCTACTGTCCTTTTAAGAATAAGTTCCCCCCCCCCCTCCCTGATGCAATGTTGAATGCCTGTTTTTTAGGCACAAATGATAGAACTACTAATTTAACTTTGATGCGGGGGAAAGCGGGGTTGGGGGAGGGTTGAATTTCTAATTTACAAGAGCAACATAAAGTAGAAAATTGCAAAAATCTCATTTGTCTCAACAATTTTGTCCAGCATTGTAACTTACGCACTTTTTCCCACTTAATTCATTGGTACTGGTTCATTGATCAATTGGCTGATTTTTTACTTCTTTTTTCCTAATTGTTTTCTTGGCTCCCTTCTTGCATACCCTCCTACCTTCAAACTTACAAGTTAACTAGTAACTTTTGTAACCGCCAATCTACGGACTTACCAACCAGCGAATTCTGAGAAATCTGTCTTCGTGATTCACTCTTTTGACACATAATGATCATATCAACGAAATTAGAATTAAAATGCGTTTTTTTTAAGGAATGGTAATGCAAGCGAAGCTCTTCAAAGAGAAGAGAAGAGATATATTGTTAGCTCTAATTGGTTATGAAAATGGCAGCGTTGCTCTTTGGAATGCATCCTCTGGAGATATCCTTACAGATCTGAAAGTACATAATGATGCAGGTAGACTTTTCATAATGATGCAGCCTCAGTCAGTGCTTTTCATAGGCCCTTTAAGTTATCTTCCATTGAGTAATGTGAAGTTCGGTATCAGTACAAAGGATTTTAATTCTTATTTTTTACGTTTGAATTATGAGTTCAACTCATTAGTCTCATAATGAGAAGGTATCATGAAGAAGAATAACAAACAGCGGTATCACCATCTGCGCATGTGGTATTACGTACTGCGGAGGTACGTTTTAGTTGTCTGTGATACAGGGCTTTACCTTCTAAGTGAGGTCCATCCATAAATGCAACCTTTTACACACGTGATGATCAAAGCGTTCAAGGGCCGTCGCTAAATATTGTTTTCAAGGGGGTTTCCAGGTCCAATTTCCTGACAACGTGGGTGAGCCTTCCATAATTTGCCAACAGGTTCGATAATTTGGAGACGAAGCACCGCCAGATGGCCAAAAATCCTCGTTCCTGAAATTTTTTAAGGAGCGTGTCACACCACTCACGCCCAACATTGCGACGGTCCTAGAGCCTTCTTACTAGTTACGTTACAGTTCATTTGTAGAGGATTAGATATTTCATTTAATGTTTCACTCGGAAGAAGATGTATATCGCAAGATAAGACGCTGCAACCTTAAGAATATCATGGCAAATTTCATTCTTTTTATTAAATTTTTAGAGCCTACACATGCATTTTTATAGCAAATTTAAGATATAAGTTACTGTTGCCAGTTGCTCTAAAAGTGTTGCTTGCTGCCTGTCACATTTAAATAGTTGCTTGCTAACCACATGCTCTGCTCGCGAATAGGGGCTGGTTTTTGACAATATCGGATAGTTCTGACTTCCAAAAAATGGTTTGGGAAACGTGTTAAATTTTTTGAATTTTTGGTTAAAAAATCGGCTACATAAAAGTTTTTTATTAGCTCTAGAAAAGTTCTTATCTATATGGGGTTCAGAGTCTTATTGGGGTAATTCTGTCGCAGATCGAACAGCTAAGTCAGGAGAAAACTTCTTGGCCGATAGCATGCGGTCAAGAGCAGGGGTGGGGTGACTGTAGGAGTTCTGCTGCAAAGTCAGGACCCACTCAACGAATTTGGAAGTGGGGGGGAGGCTAACGAAGGCGGGGGGGCAAGGCTTTTTCACCTTTTATTGCGGCTTTGAAACCATTTGTGCCTCGCCACGTCTTCCCACGCTCTGTCAGCCATTATATGGGTCTGGGGTGCTAATATTATACACAGTAATAATTTATACTCTAATTCAGCTGTAAAAAAGTCTACTGGGACAAAATATGATTTTACAGCCTCCCGGTTAACAACCCTGCTTAAAATATAGACGTATTTGATATTTTCTGCAATAAATCTTTCAAGACTTCAAATGAGTGGATTTTTGAAATCATTTGACCTAGTTCATTTCTTTGTCTAAAATCTTTCTTTTAGTTATGTGTCTGGATGTAGACAGTGATTTCTCAAAGGTAGCAGTGGGATCGGTTGATAACCGGCTCGTTCAAGTAGCACTTCCAGCAACTTCAGTATGTTGTGTTTTAAGTCTTTTTGTTCATGCGTGCTTTCTCACGATCATTGTCATTTCTAGTGTTTTTAGTTACTGAAGATTATGCACTCTGCTCGATTCAGTGATATGTTAATGTTAGCAGTCGGTTGTGAGATAATGTTTTGCATTTCGCAAAGTTGAAAACTCAAATATAAACGCATTTAAGTTTTTTGCTTTTGATGTGTGACGAAGCGAGCGGAATCTAGCAGTACAAGCAGGAGAATGCCGAAAAGACACACGATATATACATTTTTCCCTTTTCATCAATCCATTTTTCTTTATATCTTTCTTATGAAACTTTATCAATAACTACTTCTTTCATTCTGTTGTCAAACTCCACTTCTCTAATGCTTCCTTTTCTCTAGTCCTTTTCTCTAATAACACGTGACTTGATATCTAGGTTCCAGTTCTCTCACATCTCTTCTCATGACTTAGGACTTTTAGCTGTATGTATGCGCGAGTACCTTTTCATATGACGAAATCATTAGCGTTGAAGAGCGTAAATACTTTTTAACACCTGTTTCATTTGATCAGATTAGTTCTTCTATTATCATCACAGTTTCAATTCACGCGCTTAAATTATCACAGTGAAAAAACGCTTTAAAACTGCCACACTTGAACGCATGTGTTTAACGACGATTCTACGATGATTCTACGATCAATGGTAAGCGAACGACACCTCACGTTTTGCAGGGCGAATCTCTTAAAGAAGTCAGGTCAGCTGACATAAATAGCAATGGCATTTCTTGCTTGAAGGTGCGTCCAGACAACAAAATATTAGCAGCTGGATGCTGGGACGGAAAGTATGTATTATGTAATAGTTTTCTTTTTTAAATATCCATTTTATATGCTAATCTTTCCAGAAAATAAGCTGTACATTAATCTTAACCCTCTGTTCTAAATTATTTCTAGACGTGTTTGATAGTAAAATATCAAATTTTAAATTGCAACTTTCATGCTTGAAAAAAGGAACTTTCAGTTGTGTGCAACTATTAATACAGATTTTTTCATTTCAGTATTAATACTTGTACAATTCTCAATAAGCTTAACAATATTAGTTAAACAAATTTACTTTACATTTTCGTTCTTTTTGCATTGTCAATCTATCGTGTCAAAATTCTTCTTTAACTCAACAACGGTTAGTTTGACTCAATTTTGTAACCATTGTTATGTCTAATTATCATGAAAAGGGTTTAAGATTAAAGAATTCTGCAACTATTAATCTTGAAATTTATCGTGCTAGTTAGTGTTTCTTCGTAGTCAGCCAAATATATCAATTATTTAAGCCGCAGCAGTTTCCTTAAGCCAGCAACTGGCCCTGCATTCGCTCGATACAACTAAATTTCTAGATTAAAAACGGATTTGAAAAAAAAAACATTTCGGAACATGCTTAAGCTTTTCGTCTGACACTCTTCAGAGTATAAAACGTCAGAACATAGATCAAAACTCTACGCTAGGAAATATATATATCCACTTGTGGATCGAAATAGGCCAATCAGAAATGCGAGAAACTATAGAGGTTGCCCAATCATTGTCGTTTGCCTATTCAAACTATTACCAGTAGCTTCTGTTGAAACGATCGAGCACATGACCTCGGGGTAATTAGTTGCTTACAGAAGTAACGTTTTACTAACATATAATCTCACAAGTTGTATTTTCTTTGCGCGCTGGCCTAGACTTGAAAACAAACGGCGCCCAAACCCCCCCCCCCCCAATGGCACAGCCTCATCGGTCTTACAAACTGTAACCGAGCAGCATTTACCAGAAAACCCAGATTGTGCAGAAGAACTATATTGGCGATATATCTGATAATTGGCAAAGCTCGGTCGTCATTTCGTCTACCAGTTTTAGGATTCATCTACGTAAAATTGAAAACAAAATGCGTAGACAGAAGGAGTTCATTTTCACCCTTGGATTTTATTAGTGACATTTTCAATAGGAAAGCGGCACTGATTTGGCAACCGTCTGGGGATATATACTTTCCAACTTAGATTTTTCGATCAATATTCTGGCGTTTTGTCACCGAATAGAGAGAGTACAACTCGAAATGTGGTTTTGTATTCTGTAGAGTGTCAGACGAAAAGCTTGAATACGTAATTAATATACTTGCTTTTTGTCATTTCATGTTTAAATTCTTTATCGCCAAAAAATATGTTTATATATCTTTTTTTAGGATACGACTTTTTGGTTGGAAAAAGCTAAAGCCCTTGGCAGTTTTGAAATATCACGTGGAAACTGTAAACTGCATAATGTTTACATTGCATAATGATATGGTTTGTGGAAGTAAAGATGGAAAAATTAGTGTCTGGCATATTTACTAAAGTGCGTGTCATCATAATTCGGTGAGTGATTAATTAAATATGTCCTGTAGTAAGTGCAAGCTTTTCAATGAGCTGCTAGCAATTACATTTTTAGATTACACCAAAATTCATTATTTGATTGGGTCGTCTTTCATAGGCAGAAAAATTATCACAACCATCTAACCACGTGCCTAACCTGAAATTTCTCAACTATCTCCAAGTATTTGAAGCAGTGTGTCCAATCCTTCCCCTGAAGTAAAATTTCCTGCAGTTCTTTCGCCTTCACCTTCTCATTCTGATCGTTGTAATCAAATGCGCTTCTGCAAAGATTCAGGTCCACCTGCTTCTCTTTTTTTCTTAATTGTGGACTGTTATATACGTGAGTTGGCCTTATTTGTCATTAACAAAAGCAAAAACCGATTGAGATGTTTTCTGTTAACTAACATCATCAACCTTCTATTCTTGTTAAATCTATTTACGTAAACATTGGTAATTTGAATTTTTTGGCTTTTAAACAACTAACGGAGACGTAGCTAGATGAGGTGTAAGGAGTGTGACACCCCAAAAATTCTTCGCGAATTTGTCGGTAAATCTTCAGTCGGTCAAAATTTGATTAGTTCGTCGGTAAAATCCCCTATCGGCCGAGCGAGGGGAAAATGGGGGCCCATACCCTTTGGAACGCCAGAAGGCGCCCTTTTTTAAAGAGTTTTATTGCCATTAGGGGGCAAGGCGCCCCCCTCACTATGCTACTGTAGGGAAAAATAGCACCCAACTTTTTTGCATATTTATTTTACATCGATTACAAATAGTTATCAAGGGGACGAACACCAACTGCATGGAAGAAAGATATCCAAAACTGGACAGGAAGAAATTTGCCAGCAGCCATAAGATCGGCATGAAACAGAGATGAATTGAGGGCTCTCGCGGAGATCACAACAGCGCAATTTGTGCCTTCTGACTAGACGGACGGATAAATAGTTGGTCTGCAAAATACAAATGTACAACTAAACTAATCTAAATCAATGGATACGTTGGCTAAAGTAAATTTTAAAAAATCGTAAAATTATTTTTTTCTACGTGGTTTGTACATTATTTACAATCAAACGACTGGCATCGCTGTTACACGGAGGACCATCCCATTGTTTTATCTAACGTTTGAATGCGTTAAGGTTGTCTGACAATTTTAGTTCATTTAGCAAGCAGTTCCAAATCTGTGATCCTAAGAACTTGAGACTGTTGTTGCCGAAAGCAACCTGATTTGGCCTATAATGAGTCAGATTATTAGGGTTTCACAATGAATAATTAGAGTATCCAGGTTAAAAGATGTCTTTCATGAAGGCTGAATTCAGATTATTCAGAGTTTTAAAAATTTCCAAAGAGAGATGTCTAACTAAGTCGGGAGACATGCATCGTGCCTCGCTGAAACTTTATTAGAAGGTCATTATATGAGCTAAAGTGATCGTTATAAAGAAATCTAAGTGTGCACGCTCTCGTATCTTTTTAATCTTTTGCATCGATTTCGCGGGAAAAAATGCAATACCAATGGACAGTAATCAAAATTTGAATAAACGAAGCTCTGAACGAGAACTTGTGATCTGTGATCCTAAGAAACAAGCAAGCGTGTTTTCGTCAACATGATTATATAGCGTTGCCTGTTTAATGAATAGAAAAAGATCATTTATGTTAACTTTTAAAAGAATAGAGCCTAGCACTGAACCTTGGGGAACACCAGATAGGATTGTTTGAAAGGAACTGTATGTGTTGTTTATTCTCACGGTTTGCTCACGTCGTTAAAGGTATGAGTAGATTAGTACTAAGGTATTTTCTTCAATGCCATCTTCATTTAACTTTGCAATTAGCAGGTCTTGTGGAATGCAATGAAATGCTTTGGACAAGTCCGTTCGTACAGCACTTACAATGTAGTTATTATTAAAACACGTTGAGTAATATCGATGAGTAACACCGAGTGAGTAATATCAAGATGGACAATTAATTGCTGTTTCATAACATTTTCGTAAATTTTTGAGAATGTATTTAAAACACTAACAGGGCGAAATTATTCTCAACAGTGCGATTGTCTCACTTTTGTGTAGAGGGCATATTGCTGTGCGCTTTCCGTTGTCTGGGAACCTATGGTGTCTCAAACAGCTGTCTATGGCAAAGGTTTAGGGAAAGTTTGAATCTTGACATAATGAACTTCAAACTGAATGGCAACTTAATCCTTCAATTTTCAAGTTTATTGTTAGAAAGCTGAATTTTGATGTTGACATTGACCTTTTTGCTTCTAGAATTAACTGTCAGTTGAAGCCATTTGCTTCGTTTTGGCCAGATCCAGATGATTCTGCTGTTGATTCCTTTACCTTCAATTGGTCATTGTTTAATCTCTATGCTTTTCCACGTGTTGCTGTTATTCCTAAAGTCTTACAGAAAATAGAATTTGATCAAGCAACAGGCCTTGTTATTATCCCTGTGTGGCCATATAGTTCTTGGTATTCTCAATATAATAGACTTTTGGTATCAGAATATATCATTATTCCACGCATCAAGAACCTGTTCATGTTGCCAAGCCGATCAGAGGCAAAAGATATCATAAACTGATCTTGGACATTAGGCACTTGAAGACAATATCCTGTGTATATTATTAATGGTTTGTTTATTGCACAAGGAATTATTTGTGTCCAACAATATAGTCAATAGAATAAAATTCCTGACCGAGTTATTTCATAAAGATATCTTGGGATATTCAGTTATGCATTCTGCTCGTTCATCTGTGTCTACCATTATGGTTACGACAACTGATCAGCTTTTTGGTAGTCATCCCCTTGTCAAAGGTTACTGGAGAGAATGTTCAAAATTAGGCACATTTGATGTTGATATTGTCTTATCGGTATATAAAAGAATTCGGGTATGCAAATACCGTAAATCCTCGGATTAGCCCCCTTGGGGCTTATTTATTTTTGATGTCTTCAAATTGGGGCTTATTCGAGGAGGGCTTATACGAGAGAGGGGGGAACAATTTTTTGACATTAAGGAGAAATTAATAATATACCTCGTTAATTTACTTACTGGGGAAAGAAATACCAATGCATTATAAAGGGATAAAGCTCGCTCAGAAGAACTGCCATAGACATCAGAAGGTCAGTCATGAGGCTACGTTCCCACATCATCTAGAGCGAGTTGGGCCGTTGGTGCATCGGCGCCAATCGCTCAACCTACCATAAGGGAAGGGTTACTAAGGGAAGTTACACAATAATCCCCAAATATGATTGATAATTGGGAGGGAATGGACAGGAAAAGCTTCTTATCCCCACTAATAGCCGATACACCAGTCCTACCTTATACCATCAGAAAACGCTAAAAACCATAAAAGATGCCTAAAGGTATGAGAGGTTTTAATGATGCCATAAAAGAAACTCAACACGCAAAGCTATACTGAAAAGGCATTTGGCATAAAGAAACAAAATGAGGGAGGGGCCCGTATTGCCCATAAACTAGTAGAGCAGATACAAGAAAAACGCGAGGAAGCGTGGCACAAGAAAACATAACGAAATAGTAGTAACAACAATCTCAAGCGATTTAGTTAACGCTCAAAAGCCCCTCGTGAAATTAACTCTGATTAAATTTCATTTAATCATCATTTTATTTTAGTAGCAATTTCTTTATGAGCATTCAATTAATTACTCCCAAAAGTATGAATTTATTGTGGTAATTCATTAAAACGCCATAGGTAACCTCAGATGGCAAAAATCATCAAATTGAGGGACCTTTTTCGAGAAGGGGGGGGGGCAATTCGAGGGTTTACGGTACTACATGCACGAATCTAGGGTATGCTGAATTTGGTTGTCCATACCTGGGAACCATACCTTTTCTCGTAATAGGCTTTTTGTTTTGGAAAGACCTTGGTGAGCTTCATGGGCAATATCTATAGCTCGTTGCTGAAGTGACTCCGGTATGACTAAACGTGTTCCTCTTAAAACAATTCCCTTCTTGCCAACAGTGAGCTCGTCATTGATTGCACCGAAAAGCTAATAAGCCACCTAGCAGAAAGGTAGCCAAAAAATACTACGGATTTCCCATCTCAATTAACCAGACATTGCTACATTTCTTGAAAAGCTTTGTCACAAGGCAGAGATCATGTTGGGCGAAATGCTGGATCGTTAACCACCTTGTTGGGTCACCCAATATCGTAAATTTCGATGTTGGACGAAATTTGACTGAGGTGGCTCTGCGCACGCGCAGTTGGCTAAAGAGCGCCAAAATTCAATCATCGCATCGTTTCTTGGGCTGGTTTCGTTCGTTTCAACAATTGCGTTTGCTTACAATCAGTTACACTTTAATTATGGACAATATAACGAAATATAACGAATTCAGTGCGAAAGAAAAGGCATCAAGCGTCAATGAAGAACTGTAGCACAATGCAGCCACAAAAAAGCGCAGGGGGACGAATTTAGGCCACGGTCTTGATAGGGGATGCGACGCTCGTCCTGAAAGACCGCGATGACAGTGAAAATATCTGAAGAGAAAATAAAAAATGAAGGGAGTGATTGCCTTTCGTTTTTCGGATAGGAATGTTTCGAAACTGTGCAGCCTTCAGCGCGAACTTCTACCCAGTCCTTTTTTCGATCTGCGCGTGAAAATGTTGGGTGAAATGTTGGATGAAATTTTGAATCGTTTGGCCACCATCGTCGGGTCACATTCCAACATAAAAGAAAAATGTTGGGCGAAATGTTGGGTGAAATGTTGGATCGTTTGACCAGGGCTTAAGATGCTGAGATACTTTAAATCATCTCTGTCAGATGCTTGCCTTCTATTTGCTCGTATAGCAGCTCGCAATGCTTGCAATGTTTTGTCAGCGTTGATAAGCGACTGTCTGGATAGATAATCAGCAGAGTTCTCGCTTCCTGCTTTGTACTGCACTTGAAACGAATAAAGTTGTAGTCGCAGAACCCATCGCTCAATGGCTCAATCCTCTCGGACGGTTTAGACGTTGAACTGCCGTAAATAGTTTTCAAAGGTTTTTGGTCTGTAATCAAGGTATATTCTTTGTTACAAAAGTTGATTTTTCGTGATTCTTAGTCGTGATTTCTTTTAGACCGCAACCTTTAGAGGAACACTGAACTTTTCCTGTTCATTTATTGAAACAAATTTGCATCGAGGCTTCAGGTACTTGCTACCATTAGCTGCTACACATTCAAGTGTTTCTAAAGCAGCAAGGTTCTAGAAAATTAACTCGGAAAGTTATTCTGCCATAGAAACAATGGTGTAGGGCACAACCTTTGGTAGAGTTGTTTTATGTACAAGCTTGGACTTCTTGAATTGACATTTTTAAAATCTAATCAAAATTCTTATCAAAAATATCTTCCTTATCCTCGTATTTAGTTCTTCATTTTTCAGTAATAATGCAATTCATTACCCTCTCTAACAGCTGCAATGGTGATGTCAATAACAGCAGCATTTCCTTTTTCTTTGCCCCATCCCCGAAAAACCCCTTATGTCATTGGAAAGGTCTTGTGAATTATTTCGGCGTTTTCGATGTCCTCTCATAATAAGGCTGTTTTTCGTACATATAGCTTTGTATATAGGTGTATATAGCATCCGGATATAGGCGCAGTGCGCTTATCAGTGGATCTTAAGCCCTGTTTACACTACACAGACTAACCTGGGTTCGCCCTAGGTTAAAAGTAATCCGGATCGAATTCTGATGCGTTTACACTTGAAACTGTCGACTTTATAGTGTAAACGGAATCAAGGGCGAGCCTGGGTTAGTTTGATAACGGCGCATGCGTAACACACAAACAATTGAAGGTGAGGAAAAACAAAATGGCGGCTGTAAATATGTACATTGTTTTTGAACTTTACAGAATACGAGAAATCGACTTTAAAAACAATTGTTCCGAGTGCGGGTTTCGTACAGTGAAAAAACTTCGCATTTGCGGTTTGCTTAGGCCCCATTTCCACTTAGTTCGGATTTTGGATTTCGCATCTGATTTCCGAACGACGAACGTTTTTCGATTTCATTCCACACTTTTACGACGTTCGAACGAATCCTTGGTGACAATTTTGGCGCGCTTTTCGGTTGTTGTTTATGAGAATTGAAAATGGCTGCTATTAATCGACGAAGCTTGTTGTTTTTGACGCGGCTTACCGATTAAGAGAAGGCAGTTGAGAGCAAAAAGCAAATACCTTGAAAATTTTGGGTACGACCAATCCTTCAACAGGGAAACAGCAAGGGGGTATTCCAACTTGGCTAGAGAAATGCAATTGGCAGATCATGAGAACTTCTTTGAATATTGCTGGATATTTTCAGCCAAGCAGCCTCTTGTGCGTTCTTGTTTTTATACATTGGATTTCCCGTGTTCCGAACGATTTCATTTTCGTGCACTTGTTCGATTAACGCTACTCCCAACTAAATCGTTACTCCAAGCAGTTTTTGGAGTCGCTGTAGATTTGATTTAGGCCATCGTCTCGAAATGCAGTGTAAACGGAATTTGCATTTAGTGTGAAATGTTTACTGTCCAGTCTTGCTGGTTTCGAGAATAGAACAAAATTGCATTTTACCTTTCTTCGATACCATTCTTCATCCTCAAGATGTTAATGTCTTAGCTCCCGTGAATTGGAGTCTAAAGTGTCCATGTTCTCTCGCAAAGTTAGAAAAAAATTCCTAGACAATATATTCTACACTTCTTATAGTTATCCATCTTGGTATGTTTGCAGAGTGGACAACTATAAGCGACCCAAGCTTAAGATCAGCACAGTTATAATACCCATTCTCATACCAGACACCTTTTAACCTATCAGACAACTTGAAGTAATTGTTACGCATCAAACATTATAGTGGCAGTAGTTTTTGAGAATCTTTAAAAACTTATGCCACCATACCTAGCTACTGTTCAAATGCACACCTGAGACCCATCCGGTAACACACAAAAGCACATTAGATAAATACAAATTACATACAAAGTAACAGTTGTTAAAAGAAGAAGCAAATGGTTAATATACATTAGGTTAGACCAAACATTATCAAACGAATTTATATAGGTTACTAAGAAATACATGAGTAGATTGAAGCTAAGATGTAAACTTCATAAAGCAAAAATCTTGCAAAAAAGAGGGCTTGTATAATGTGAAAAATTTTTGGCGGTACATGATTTGGAAATGGCTTTAAAAAAAGTTAAAAATTTTACAATATACTAAAAGCTTTTTCGTCTGACACTCCTCAGAGTATAAAACTTCACAATGAGGTTCTGCAATGTTTCTAGACCCACAAGATCGAGGAGGCTCTTTGAGGATTTATCCTATCCCCCAATCTTTGGGTTGTGCGTCCTACGTACGCACACTGACACGTAAATTCATAAACAACGGAACTCTTTTGGGTGGTAGGAACACAATCATGAACGCAGCCCTTTTAAATGGATCTCCTAGTGCTGTAAACAATACGAAGATTGACAGCAAAGAAGCATTTTGTGACGGCCAGATTATACTCTGAGGAGTGTCAGACGAAAAAGTTTTTATTTTAGTTTTTATTATTTAAACACGGCGGTCCAGTCAGCCAAAAAGCTGTTTTTCAGGGGGCTGTGGAAAAGCGTACAAATTAGAAGAAAGCCTATTTGTGACCAAATCGAAATCAACAGAACAAGACCAATACAAAGTAGCTATGTACATTGAGAATGAAAGAAAGAGCGTGTTTCTTGATCCACGTGCAAAAACTTAAAATAGCAGCAAGGGTTATGCGCTGAAACAACCAGT